GGAAGAGTGTGCTGATAGTCAGGCCCTCTTTTTTTTTTTTTTTTTTCATTTGTAGGAATTCTCAGTATACAGGCAGACCTGCAGAAATATGCCTGTCTTACTACGCTCAGTAGAGCCTCCTGACGCATATGGCTCTCTGGCTGCATGTTACATATGGTGAAGTTACTTACCCAGCATGTCATGGACTTCCTTTGTTTTGCCGTCTTGAACAATGGAGCTGTGGGTTCATTTCTCGCTGTTCTCTTCGGATTCAGTCTTAGAAATGGAATCGCTTTACAGGCAGATTGTCATTGTTAAGCACATAGCAGTGGTAGTAGTTTAAGAGAAGATGCTTTCCTGGCCTTTGTTGTCTTTGAGTATTCTACTCAATTTTGTTGTTGTTTGTGAATAACTTTATGTGAAAGGAGGGTCAAGGTGTTTCCTACATTAGTCTGCGTGTCTCTGTTTCAATACACGCTTTACAACAGGAACGGAGAAGAATACAGTGAATTTGTCAAAGGTTTAGACAGTTGTGAACATGAGTTTGAACGATACTAATAAAGGAAGCTGGATACTTAGCACCACGTATACTGGATTTGTAAGGTGTAGTTTCATTTAAGAGAATAAAATAGTATAAAATGACAAGATGAGAGTGGCAATTGGGAAATATGTAAGAATATAGGACTTTCTTTTTAAAATAAATATCACTTGTAAATATTTTAATCGAATATTTCCAAGTGTTAGGGAGTGCTGCCACTAATTCTTTTGACTATTAAAGTATTTTTGGTGGCCGTCTTACACATCAGAACATTTCATCCTGTTGTGCACAGCGACCTGTCTTTAAGATACTTACGCATATTGATGACCACCTTTCAGTTATTTAGTGTGAAATTCAAAGACTTCCCTTGTGCTCCTCCACATTTGGTAGAATCGAATTATTCATTTGTGTGTATGTGAGGGGAGGAGTGGGCAGGGATTAAGCTGAAATATTTGGAAGAAAAGCTATACATTGGTTTTCAAGAAAATGGCAGTGAGAGTAAACCACTGAAAAGACTTCTAGATCGGAAGGATTTTTAAAAGATAATGAAGAGTGCACATCTATTTTAAGTGTCAGGTGAAAAATAAGTCTAGCATTGGAATCAGTTGACTCGAAGACAACGTCTGGTGGTCTTACACAGTATTTTGCGCAGCCAGCCTGCCTCTCACTGGACGAGCTGTGTCTAATAAGGAACAATGAGGAGTGAGTTCCCACTTTGGGGAGGTTTGACTGGGGATCCCAAGCCAGGGTGGAGACGCCAGCGCCACTCAGCACACAAGAGCAGTGAGTGTCGCTGTCGATGCCTGCTGCGAGTTGTGGGAAAACTGTTTTTAACCTTAAGAAGGGAAAACTATTTTTTTTAATCAGGAAGACTCATTAAATTCATTTTCTCTGCTTTTTGATAATGTAAAAAGCAAACTAGAAATAATAACTCGTGGACTCAAATCCTCCGGGAAAGAAAAAGAGATTTAGGCATGGATGATGTATGGCCTTGAGATGCGTGGTAGACTCCAGTTATCATTAATCTAATAAATACTGTGACTTTTTGCAGCACTGAGGAATTTTTCTTAGAGTTGCATCCTCATATTGATACATTAAAAGTAATTCATTACCATTTTAAACAGAGGTCTATAATGTATTACTTTCGCCTTATTCATTTTATGCCTAAGAAATAATGTTGCTATGAGGTTAAATTAGTGGTAAAAAGGATTTTTTAAAGCTATTACTGGTAATTTTTAGCATAATCACATGCAGTACCTCAGTTGTAAACTGTAGTTTGCATGAGTTTAAACTGCAGATTACCTCTTCCCTCTAGGTAAGCCTCTATAAAATCAACCTGGAAAAAATCTTACTAGGTTTTTTTAATTCCTTTTATGCAGAACTCAGATGGTTACTTTATAATAATCTTTCAAAGCATTTTTGGAAAGGGAAGGGATAAGTAATTTGGACTATGAGTTTCTATTGTTTGAAAACAAATTTAAGCAAGATATTTGAAAAGCAATTGTAGAAAAAAGATGCACTTTGTATAACTTATATCAGAGTTACAAATATTGTTCCTCTAAATAACATTTACATTATTGATTAGAACAAGCTCCTTTGACTACTCTTGCTTATGTGAAGGATGTATTTTTCCTGAGTATGTCCTGCTATGACACGCAAATAAGCCAGCACTATGAAGAAACGCAAGTGAAATTTCAAAAATAATGGTTAAACAGCTCCCTCATAACTATAATGGCATGTTAAACTGAGAAGTTCCAAAACTAGAAAAGCTAGAATTCTGATATCTACCTCTTTTCCCAAGAGACCCTCCAATATTAAAAACTTTTCTTTGATAACATGATTATTTCTGGTTGACTTGAAACAAAACATAAGCCAGACTTTTAAAGATGTTCCTGATGTTCTAAATTTGAATTTAAGCTCTTGCTCACCAGTCTCCCCTGTTCTATGATTTAAACATTTATGATTGCGTATATTACTCAGTGACTCTTTGATCTGTCGCTGAATTATAGTGATTTATATACAGCTGTGCTAAATTTTCATTAGTTTATACATTGACTCACTTATTCATCACCCGCATACCAGGCAAGGTTCTAGACACTAAGGATTCAGTATTTAAAAGGCAAGACAGCAAGGACCTATAGTACAGCACAGAGAACTATATTCAATACCTTATACTGGCCTATAATGAAAAAAAATATGAAAAGGAATATGTGTAAATGAGTCACTATGCTGCACGCCAGAAACTAACACACTGTAAATTGACTAATACTTCAATTTTTGAAAAATAAAAAAAATTTTAAAGAAATGTTAAATAGTTTTTTTAAAAAGCAAGGTCCCTACCCACATGGAACTTGCTTTCTGTCTCTGGTTAGTTGCTGAAATCTCACTCTAAATGTTTTCTGCTTAAAGAAGACTTTAGTCTGAAGCAAATTTATTTTATACTGTTGAATCAAAAAGTTCACATTCTCAGACCGTTTCATTTCTACAGGAACATTGACAGATGTTTAGCAACAAATACAAGAAATATATCTTTCAATATAGCAGTAAGCAAAGCATTTCATTCACTGGAGTTTATCAGACTTACAGAGCTTGGGGATGTTAGGAGTGGCTGAATTAGCACTGATACAATCAGCGTTTGTATTTAAGTTAATATCCTAATTTCATTTGCTGCATTAAAAAATAATATAACAACAATCTAAGTGGTTGAAAATGTTGGGAAACTTTAAAGAATTTCCTAGAGAATTGTTACCATTCACAGTGACCTATACCCATTCATGCTAATTTGTAAGACTTCATAGTGTCGTAAGTAACTGAAGTACCCCGTGGTGCAGATACACCAAAATAGGTTTACTGTCTCTACTGTAAATAGCTTCTTCCCTGTAGACTGCAAGTTTACTGTGTTCCCTTCATGTTCTGACTTTAAAATGTCACATCCACACTTGCGGACTGTTTCATTGCCTTTTAATTTGGGTGGAAAACTTTGGCGTTGCTGTTGGAGATGATATGATGCAGGGTTTTGTTCTTGATCCTGAGGTGTGAGGCCCTCCAGCCACTGTGAATGATGTCAGCAGAGACAGACGAAATCAATTCTCTGCAAGGATATGCATAGGCTGTTTGAAGCCTTGGCTAGTGGGCCAGTCTATAAACTGGGGTACAGAGTCACTGAGGAATGGTCACTTCATGTAGAAGAGGCAAAAATATTTGCTTCTACTGTGTCAGTGTTCTGTCCCAGGGATTGAATAAGAGAAGAATGTCATTTTGCAAAAATTATACACAATTCTGGACGCTGTTGCTGGTATTCAGTTTTCTGGTTTTGTCTGCTCACCAATATTACTATAACTTATGAACATGTATTTAAGGAAAAAATGCTTCTCATCAAGATTTGAATCATGCACTTTAATACCTTTGTTTTCAACGTGCCGTTTGCTTGTCTTGGAGCTGTAGGGAAACGATGTGATTCCCTTAATTACTGGTCACCCATATTGAACAACAGACACTGTGATGCGGCTTGCCAACAGCTGAATGCATCCTGAATGAACCCAGGAGGGACAGAAGACCCACTGGGCTTCAGACTTAATGCCTCAGATGTAAGAGGCACTTTAAAGAGTGCCGTAAATTACAACAGCTTCTAAACGGGGCTGGACATTTTAGCCCTTCCTCTGGGATGAACCCAAGTCCCAGTCATTCATTGAGGTCTTTGGTGCACAGGGACGATGGCAAGACATCACCAGGGAAGCAGAGCCCTTTCCTGTAATAATACAAAATGATTAAGAGGGCCTAAAAAGAAATCAATTCACTAATCAATAGTATGTAACTGCTTGGAGCACTTTCCTCATGCTAATCAGACTTTAAGTTGTTTAAACTAAATATCTCCAGTTTCCCCAATTACCGACCTGATTTACAGGACATGGTTGAGGATGTCAGAGTCAACTGGAGCCAGATTCCAGAGCATTTGTCTTCAGAGAAAGACAGAAATAACTCATAGATGGTCCTCTCTCACTATAGGGTCAGAAGGCCCCTGAAAGGGAGGCTACAGTAGGAATTGTTCTCCTGGTTTGCAGACAGTGGTGAATTAGCGTGATAATCTCAAGTTCAAAACGTATATATTTGTTTGAGAATACAGGTGGGAACTTGATTCAGTTCAGGAGTGATGGAGGTCAAAATAACTATGGAAAATACCCGTACACAATGTATTTTCAGGCCTTTAAAATTTGGTTTTAACTTCAGCCATGGTGAACAGCACTGCAGCAGACAAGACTCCGAATTCAAAAGAATCGAAGGTATTCTAACAATACTGTAAAATGACGCCATGTGACCTGCCTATATATTTATTGCCAGCAATTCTAGTATCAAAACCACACGTCAACGTTTTTTTCCTGAGTTGAATGCCACTGTGGGTGGAAAAAAAAAAAAGCAATGCTAAGAAATAACTTTCTGCAGGGGGAAAACCTTTTTTTATTGATATGTTTTACTTTGCTGGCAGACCAGAGCAAAGGTTTTGTGAACATTTAAAAGATGAAAAAGGTGAAGAATCCCAGAAGCGGTTTATCTTGAAGCGAGATAACTCTAGTATTGATAAAGAAGACACTCAGGTTGGTTCTCAAGTTTGAGAGTGGATGGCATTGTTTTTGAAGGTGGGCTGACCGATGTCCTTGTTGTTCTTCTGTTGTCCCTTCTGGCTCTCCCAAGTCTCCCCTGCCTCTGATACGACTGTGCCCCGCCACCTCCCGCTCCCCCTTCCCCCCTGGCATTCAATGGGCAGCAAAAAGCCATGTCCTGGTCTCGCTTCAGCAATGGCTCTGTGTGGGGCTGCATGGGTGGTGCTTGGCGCAGTTTCTGCTGCATGTGTGGGGGCGGGGGCTGGGATGCCGCCGGCTCCGAGCTGATGGGGAAGAGCTTTGTCAGTCGCATTTCCAGATGTCTGTGTAACTACGGCAGTCGTTCCACTCCCTACAGCCTTGTCCTTCAGTTGTGCACACACTGAGCTGGATTTTCAATACGGACCGATGAGCAACTGATGTAGCTGTAAAGAACAAACGTTGTTATGGTGAGGACAGGTGGATTTTGCAACTCTCCTAAAATAAGTCTTCACAAAAAAGAATCGAGTTCATGTTTTAGTCCCCCACCGTTTCTCCTCCCCATGTGTTCTATTGTCCGTGTCTGCAGTCTGCTTGTTTTGCATGAACGGGAGCAGAACTCCTTCCTCACATGTGTCAAAACATCCTGTTGTTCTGGAGTAGCCTTATTCACGGGGCCTCGACCAGGCTAGAGGGACTCTCTACCAGATTCCTTCTCTGGGTGGAGGGGGTGGGTTTCAGGGTGATTAAGAAGACAACCAAGTACCTGGAGAAAGAAAACACATTTTAAACGATGAGGAGAGCAGTAGAAAGTCATATAAATGCATTACCGTGACACTTCGTGTCTCTGACAATCAAAATAGATTTTTTTTTGAAAATGACTTTGCTTTAGAATTCTTAAAGGTAAGACAATATGCATCTCACTCAAGTTATTATTTTAATTACTCTCCATGAGTCACCGTGAGCCGGTGTGCACATCTCTGACGCACCTAAAAAAAAAAGTTCATCATTTGTATCTCGTTTCCTCCCACCACCACCACCACGGAACCACACTGTGGCTTGAGTTGACTCTGAAACATGTGCCTGTGTCGTGTACTTTGTGGGTGTTTGTTGGATGGATGGATGGATGGATGGATGGACGAACGTGGTTAGTGCAGAACATTTGGGGAGAAGTGGCAAGAATGAGAAGGGAGGACAGTTGAGATGCAGGAAGTGGTTCCAAGGGAAGGCTGAGGGTGTCCTCATGCTGGGTTCTTTGAATTTTGACTTCAGACTGCTTGATATCGACCCTAATCAACAGATAGGCTTTTTGAATTTAGTTTCCACTTTCTATCCCAGATGTAACTCACAAAATGTCGTCGAGTAATAAGAACACAAATCAGGTTGGAGAAACAGTGCCTACCTCTTCCTGTCTGCCCATTGCTTTCTTTACCCCCTTGCTGTTTCTCCAACCCATAAGTTTTAAGAGCCATTTCTTCTCTTAGCCACCTTAAGCTAGCCACTTCCTCTTTTCTCACCAACATTCCAGCCTCCTTCTGAGACATCAAAATCACACAGGTTTGCTAAGGAGACAGAGCCCATCACTCATGAACCAGTACATAGAGGAACTGGCTGAACACCGAGCACACCCAAGAGCTTACGTTCCAGAAACACCAGCAGCTACTTGAATCCACCAAGGGAGTGACCAGGGGCAGCAAACATCTCCTGCCATTGCGTGGCACGCACACACGCCACCCACACTCCCTGCCACGGCTTTCTGGGGGACCCAAGGGAGTAAGACTCTTCAGGCTCCATTTGTTTAAGTGAACATTTATTATTCTCAGCTGACAGTTGCTTAACTGCAGGTTTCTAACAGCTCAACTTGGATAACCCTCCTGATTTCTTTTTTCTGTTCAGCAAAACAGAATGCATCCATTTAGAGATGACAGACGAAGTAAATCAATTGAAGAGAGAGAAGAGGAATATCAGAGAGTGAGGGAGAGAATATTTGCACACGATGTGAGTAGTTGTTTTAATTGCCTCTTGAGTGCGGTCCTTCCATCAGCAGTCAGGCAGCTTCGTTCCCCAGACAGGCAGCTGGCAGGGACCGAGGGAGCTGGAGCCAGGGAACAAATCGAACGGCAGCAAAACTCGAGGTGTGTCTGGAAGAGGACCTGGTCAGGGAAGTGATGGAAATGTGTCCAGAGGTTTGCATGTGTTCCTAGGATATGACCTGTGCGGAAACAGATGTAATTTTTGTCAGTAAAGTAGACCGTAAGTACACAGAAAGGTTGTCAGATTTGAAGAAATTCCTTCACATATTAGCCAGCAGATAGCACATAGTTGTCTTTTTCATACCAACATTGTGTAGAGGAAAGAATTACAGAAAAAAAGAGAGGAATCTGTTGACCACATGGACATGCACAGAATTTTCTGCGTTCTTAGCAAGTATGAGCATTTTATTACCAAAGTTAAATAATAACTCTTCATCTCCCACCACCCCAATTTCAGATCGAATCAGTTCCGTGAACAGCTGTCAAGGGAATCATCACAAAACAATCTCTTTGTTCAAATCCCAAACAAGAAAATGTGGTTGTGATTTTTTTTTCAATCCTTTACTCATTGTGACCAAATTTAAATGCAATTAAATTAAATAAAAAATAAAAGGTGAAAAAAAACTAAAACTAACTTGATTTTAATGCAGTAAAATGAAAAGGGGGAGCAATTGTCACAAGTTTTCCAGTCCACAAAATCATTTGGTAGCCTCCTAAAATGCTGTGATTTCTTTCCTCCACAGAAGTACAGTCAACAGCTCCTTTGTGTGGACTTTCTGTGGCCTACACCTCTGGCTTCACTAAGTGAGGTGGGGTATCTGACCCCCTGGGGTAATTTGCTCCTGGAGGCTGTTACAAAGCCTGCCCAGAGACCTAGACGTCCATGCTCAGCGTGGAGGGGACTGCTGTCTTGAGGGTTTCAGCCCAGGCCAGTTTCCCTGAGCCTCCCGCTGGTGCAGGATCTTGGACTGTGAACCAGCAGAGGAAGCAACATTGTGTATTGACAGTTTTCTGTTATCTCCTCTAGACACTCTCTGCCTTTCTTGGATACATTAAAACAGAATTTTGAATTGCATAATCTGGCCCAGAGCTGGGAAATGAGGAGAGTGTGAGAGAAGGAGGTTGGAGTAGCCATAGTTGGATGAAGTCCAAGTCCAATTCTAGAAGATTCTAGAATACCCTTTTATTATGATCAGAATTATTGACAGTGCAAAGGACAGCCTGACACATGGTAGACCTTTCATTGTGTTTGCTGGATACAAGAATGGAGTAATGAGAGGATCTATTCTAGTTGTGATAGGTTAGGGTGCCTACCATGGACTGGAGATAGCATGGTCCTGTCTGATGACCTTCAAAAAGAGAAGTTTTTCTGAAGGCTACTGTATTTTTTATTCTCTCTTTCTCTCTCTCTCTCTCTCTCTCTCTCTCACACACACACACACACACACACACACACACACACACACACACACACACACACACACACACACACATTCCCTCTTAGTCTGGTTCTGGCAAATCATACGATTTACGACTGAGTAGTTACATCGATAAAGGAATACTAATCACCCACATAATGTACAAACAACATCATGCTTTTTTTTTTCTTTCCAAAGCTGTGTCACATAGCCAGGTGACAGCAAGTACCATCACTGCTGTCTGCCTGTGGTGTGGGTGGCACATACCCTGTGGTGCTTCACTTCCATGTTCTCACGTTCAGGGGGAAGTAATCAAAGGGGGGCGGTCAGCACGACTCCCTTTACACACTGCATTTCCTTACTTCCCTATTAAGGAGATTAATAGCAAGGGACCCAGGTTCCAGGGTAAAGATTAGAGGCAAGGGTTCCTGTTGGAAGCCTTCATGGCCACATGCTCTATTAACTTTTTTTTTTTTAACCACTAAAAGCAGACTTCATTGTGAGGAGTGTTTAAGTGCACAGCTATTGTCACAGCCTTTTTCTTCCATGAAGTCACTGGGTAGCCTTCTCTCCAATGCTGTGGCCGCTTGTCCCTGTGGGAGGAGAGGTGTGAGCTCCTATCATAGGCTCTCTGGTGGCCAGCACATCTGGCCTTACTAACTCAGGGGGAATCCGGGCTGTTTCTGACTCTACTTTTCACCTGATCCCCTAGGGCAGTGGGTTTTTTTAAAATTGGAGTTCCATACCTAGAGTACACTCATACAGGGCTTCAGAGATTAAATAAAATCCATGATCTCATCTGCAAAACACAATGTTCATGAACATACGTACATTTTTCTAAGAACAGGGCTTCTGGTGTTTATTGTATTCTTAGAAGTTTTCGTGGTGCTTAAATGACTCAGAGCCCCTTTCCTAGAGGGAAGATGAAGTGCCCCGTGTCTGTCTTCCTGGTGTGAGAGTTCTGGTAGAGACTGTGCAGTCACTCCACTGGAGTTCCCTGGTTTAGCTATGAATTGCTGCATAACACAGTATCCCCAAATTTGGCAGCTTAAAACGAAAAGCAAACAGAAAACGTCTCATCTCACAACTTCTGTGGGTCAGGAATCTGGGAGTGGCTTAGCTGAGTGATTCTGACTCAAGGCCTTCCGTGAGGTTACATTCGCGCTTTCCGCGGGGGCTGCAGCCCTCTGAAGGCCTGGTCTAGTGGTTCTCTGCTTCCCAACTCACTCACGTCTCCCTGCCGGCTGAGCCAGAGACCTCAGTTCCCCCTCAGTGATGTGGGTCCCTCTGTAGGCTGTCAAGCCTTCAAATATGGCAACTAGCTTCCCCCAGAGCAAGTGGCCAGAGAGAGAAAGAAAGGTCCCAGATGAAGTCATAGTCATTTATAACCTGATCTTGGAAGTGACGTGCCTTCCCTTCTGCTCTATTCTGTTGGACACACAGACCAGCCCGGGTGCCTGTGGGACGTACCACACGGTGTGCACACCAAGAGGCCAGGGTCACCGGGGGCCACCCTGGATTAATAGGGTATTACTCAATCCTCTGCTAACTCGAATCCAGGACGGAACAGGAATATGAGCTTTCTCGAACACATACAGTAACAAAGACACAGGACACTTTAGGGAACCTTCATCTCTGCAATTCCAGATCCCAAAGTATCATTACCATCACCCAAACTACTGAGGTACCCAATACAGTAATGAAAGTATATTAACTCAATTATAAAACAAATGCAAAGAATCCAGCATAAGGAAACTGTTACATATGTCTAATCCTTTTCTTAACTGGTCTTTAATTTAGCATCTTCATAAATTAAAAACTTAGGTAATAAAACCAACTTCCTTTGCCAATTATTAAGCAGTGGAGTAGCTCAAACAGGTTCAAATATCAATATATTCGAGTAGGATTTTTTTTTCTGCTTTAAGTTACAATGGAGATTTATAGAATACGTCTTGGTATTTACCCTTTAGCAAAATCCCAATTTATTTTAAAATTACAAGTGTTCCTGATTATCTTACAAATGTATATTGGTGTCTAAGGGGTGTGTGTGTGTTTGTGTGTGTGTGTGTGTGTGTGCGCGCGCGCTTTTGTATATGGTTGCACAGTCAGGATATTCAGATTACTTGGGGATTTTTCTCGAAAATTTTTTTCAAATATAGTTTGAGAACTTTGGTATCTTGAAATAAGACCAGTGTATTATTTGAGAACTAAAGTGTTGTAATTCAGAGCTCACAACAATTTAGTTCTCAATAAATAAATGCACTTTTGTAATCAAAAATATTTGAAATATAACTTATTTTCTTAGGCAAGAATTTCAACTTATTTTTATAATTAATTCTATGCAGTGTTGCTCGCTTTGGGAAGGTTAAGCTGATAAAGCAATATATTTGAGAAAGCCATGTTTTGCCTGGAGGGTAATTTCCGAAGGATATTTATGTATACATAGGAATTCAGGAAGGACATCATCTTTGCATGTGCTGGGATTCTTCCTCAGGGAGAGCTGATGGGATGAGGGTATGCAGTGCCATCTGGATTGGGGGTGGCATGTGAAAGATTTCTGTAACCCATTAGGCAAAAACGTTTTTCTCCTATAAAACAAGAGCCCTTTGTATCTCAGAATGCATATAAATGACAGCTCGGAATGCTAGGCTTAATTACTCTGACAGTTTTATCCTTCTCTGCTATTAAGATGTGTAAGTTATTAATACTATTTTTAAAAATATATATACATTTTCATCAGTCACTGAATCATAGTCCCTATCTCTGTCTTATTTATGAAGATTTGGTGGATGGATGATGAAATGATTTTTAGGACTTTTCCCCCCAAATCAGAAAGATGTTCTTGAGATGGGTATAGGGGAAATCATCTTTGACTTGCAGGTGACTTATTTTTTAATTCAAGTGTTTGGGCTGCTTAACTTTTCCCCCAAATGCTATTGGATTAACGAGTCTGAAGAGGTCAGCCTGTCTTTAATCAAGTCTTTCAAAGAAATAGCTGAGTCTCAGTCTTTCAATACCAACCAGAATATCCTAAATGTAACTGACCTCTTTCCCAACCCCAGGAGCTGAGAAGCAGTGAAGTATTAACATTCATAGTGGACATCTGACACAATCTCCCTGTCTTTCTTTCTTTTTTTAATTGTAAAAAATTGTCTTGGTATTTCTTTATTGACAGAGATTTAAAAGAAGGTGTTTTTGTTTAGTTTCCCTCCTCCCCCCTTTTTCCCCTTTCCTTCACATACCATGACTTGGCTGAAAGTGGTAGGGAAGTGAAACTAAAGAAAATAAAGACAGTAGGATATTGAGCTTTCTTTAAAGAGATCCTCATAGGAACATCAGCAACACATCGTTTGTATTTGTTTCCCTTCATTAAACGTCAAAAAAAAAAGATTTTTTCTGAAAAACCTTTTTTTCTTAATTGACTCTTTTGGACTTCTGCTAAGTAAAAATTTTTGCACACTTGATCTTCAGGACGCATGTTAAATGCACAGAGGTTAAAACAGGTGGTTCTAGAGATGCCCTCACTAAAATGCTCAGACCACTGAGAGAAATGGCATGCCCAGATCTAGCCCTTTGACTTAGTGGAAGGAAATGATTCCTCCTGTAAAATGGAGAAAGACACCAATATCCTGCTGGCCTCCCCTAGCAGTGGTTACATTAGCAGCATTTTTAAGTCAAAAATTCCATTTTGAAAGGTCATTATTATTTCTTTAGTTTTAGTTTATCTTAAAATGGACCTGCCTGTTAAGCCTCTGTCCCTTTAGCAGGTGACTTGTTGATCATTTAGAAAACCTACACGTATAAATACGGTGTCTGTGTTTACCTTTAAAATCTTAGTACTTTGAAAATAGTTTTATGTTAATTCCTAAACACAGTCATTGTATTTCAGGACCATTGCACCCTATTTTGTTTAGACTTCTGTTTTTCTGTTTATTAAAACTTAATGTGATCTGCCTTTCCCCAGCATGTAATGACTATGGAATTTCATCTCCCCTACGTTGTATATTAAACACGAGGTAGATAAGAAGTGAATGCTAGAGAGCAGAAGCTAAGAAGAAAGTCACTGTGTTTTCTGTGTGTGTGGAAAACTAAGATACATTAGCTGGAGCCTCATATTCCTTCCCCGTGAATTTCATTTTGTTCTCACTTGTTTTCTGCGCCCTGCCCCCCCCCATATTGATTGATGGCTTCTTTTCAATGTTGAGAGTCTGGCAGGCAATCTGTTTACTCAGTGAGCGCTTATCATTGCCAGGTAATCATTTCAGGAACGTAGCTCTACGGCTCTCCCATCCTCAGGTGGATCGTGCCAAGTTTGCACGCCCTGCCTTGATGCGAACTTGTCCCTCTTGGCTCTCGCTGGCGGCTGCATCTCCACAGCCCCGGAGGAAACCGCTAGCTCAGGCTCCCAGGCACACAGGTGTCTCCAGCAGTTTCATTCACATTGACCTTGATGCTGAACAAGCTAAATCTGTTTGAAAACTGGAGATACTAAGATGGAGGAGCGCTGCGTGAGAGTGGTGTACGCTTCTAACCTGTTCTTTCCTTTTTCATTTCCATGTTTTCTAAAAGTGATACCTAGTTTCTTAATTTTTTTTCCTCTTAGGGGAAAAGTAGCTTTACAGTCAGGCAAGAATCTGGGCTCCCTCAGCGTATCCAGAACATCTGATACAATGCCTTTTTTTTTTATTTTTCAGTCAGTTTGCTCCCAGGAAAGCCTTTTTGTGGAAAACAGGTAAAATGAAATTTGCTTTTTCATGTCTTTAGAGGAACAAAATCTGTCATGTGTGTCCTGTATATCCATAGATATATATCTCTCTCATATATAAGTGTGTGCTTGAATATATGTATAAATAAATACATATATCTATGCGTACACACATATATATGCACACATATATGTTATTTAGCATGTCTAAAAGCTACTTATTTTGGGCAAAAAAATTCTTCTCAGTTACTTTGGAACATAAATTTCAACATTTTCCTTATTTGAAGTCTCAACTTCTGCCTTCCAAAGGTGTAATCCTGTTACTTCCCCTGACGTTAAAAAGTATAAATGTTCAGACCACACAGGAAATTGCAGTTTCATTGGCTTTACTGATTTGGCTGCTAAAAGTTACTTGTGTATTTGGTGTTATTGGCCACTTCCTGTGCCCCGTAATTATGTGTAGCTGTGCAAGTAATTGTTTGAATAATACTGTTTTAAATTTCTCATTCTAAATAGTCTATCAGTCTTCATAAAAGGCTAACTTGGAAAACTTATCTAAGCTGATCTAGATTTACTAGTGTATCTGGCTGGGTGTTAGCAGGGGAGGTGCTGGTTGTAAAATGAATGTGTTAAAATATTTATACAAAGTCTTGAGTAAAAGAGCAGAACTTTTCAAACTTAATGTGTACCTTTTTAAAAAATTCATTCTAAACCGACACAGATATTAAAATGCTCCATTGATTTAACTGCAGATTTTCAAGGGGAATTAAGGAATTCCACATCAGCTGTACTGATCACATTTAAGACGCATCACAACGGGCAACATGGATTGGAAATATGGTCTCCATTTAAAAAGTGGTGGCTAATTTCATTTCAGGTGTTGGCTTAATGGGTGTTCTGTTATCAATATAAAATTTATTAAAATGGAGGCTATTTTATTAAATTCCAGTACCTACAGAAAATTTACACTGGGCATTAGAGATGATTGGTTTTTAAAAATGCTGTCATTCATATTCGCAGTTAGAAATCTTCAGCTGAATAACCTCTTGTAGAAGAAAGGATGAAAGCAGTGAACAAGTCTTTATAAGGCATCAAAAGCACCATCAAAAATCCATAGAGATTTAGACAGATATTCCTTACAGTTAAAGAATCTCTGAGCATTAACATCTTAGGGATGATTCTGAAGCATTCCAAAATTCTCTATCCTTACCGAAAAGATTGAGCGTTTAGAATTCCGTTTTGTAGGATGCCTCATTCCCTATTCTTCTATCCATTTTCCCTACTGACTCTTTAATCTTATTCATTCACTTGTGTTTTTTATTAAAAAAGACGGCTAATGCACTTAAGTGTCCCTAGTATTCAAATTGGGTTATATTCATCAACACAGTAATTGGTCACAAATATGCATTGCTTATATGAATGAATCTGAATGGTCCCCAAAAGCAAAAATCTAATTGAGTAGATCCCATACAAAAATGAATATATTTCTTAGATACTTGCCTTTAGATGCCATATTTCACTGTGCCCCCAAAATAGAAAATAAGTGTAATGTGACCCAAGGGAAAAAATTGTGAATAATATATTTAATGGATTAACTATTATATCTGTATCAGTTTCTTTTATTCTCCTCTTGTCTTCCATTCCGTCTATTCTTTCTTCCCTCCCTTCTCCCTTATCTAACATCAGTGCCTTAATCTTAGGGTGGGGAAAAATAAAATCCTAAGGTAGGCTGCCATTCATTTACTAGGGCAAAATTCAACATCATGCAAGTAAACCCTAGTGTGTGGGGTGATTTGCAAGACAGATGTGCTATAGTGGATTACACATGCTTCTAACGTAAGGCATTTAGTACCCTTAGATTTTACATCATAAAAATCATGTTTTTCATTTCCAGTAGGCTCTTGGAAGACAGTAACATATGCAATGAGACCTATAAGAAAAGACAGCTCTTTCGGTTGGTATGGTTTAATTTCTTAAAACTATGTTTTCAGATTATGTGGGAGAATCAATGTTAACTATAAGTGTATTAGTGTAAAATATCTCTGTTCATGAAATGAAGTATGTTTGGTTTTCTCTTTGTAAAGCTTGTTACAGAGCTAGTGTTAAAGCCACATGAATCATGTGAGATTCGGGGCTGGGGAACCACTGCTTTGTATCCAGGCCTTTAGAGTTCTTCCTCTTTTTTTTCTTCCCCCCACCCAGGCTAACTTTGGCAGCACGCTGATTTCACATTCCCGAATCCACTTTGCTGCATTACACTGAGTTAAAGTTTCTCTGACAGGTTGCAGTTGCATACACATTCCCAGTCCTGGAAAATAAATCAATGATAACTCTATTTGAGTAGTTGATTTTTGACCACTACTATCCATCATAATATTTCCAACAATATTTTTTTCAAGCTCAGATTTTATTTCTAAAGAAAAGTAGGGGATTGTTTTCAATTATAATGAACTACTTAAATCAGGATCTATGTGGCAGGTAGGGAATAGATTTTATATATATATACATACACACATATACATAGAAAATATATATGTAATTTTATACTATTGTATATAATAAAATATATAAAATTTTATATGAGGCTAGCGAGTGCCATGAAAGCAGAGGGACTATACCTGTTCTCATGTTACTTTATTAAATGTATCTCTAGCCTCCATTATAGGGCCAAGGATACACAGTGCTATATGTATGTATTATATGTATATTCATATACATATACATTATATATATTCAATACCTAAATACCATGTATTTAATATGCTACTGCTTTTATGAATATTAGGGTTCATATCTGAGTAGGAAAGGCAAAACAAACTTCTTGATTGCTTAGAAGAAAGAAAATACCCCCAAAAGTAAATGGATTCTGTGCTCAGAGCATATCTTTCTGCTATAAATCTAGACTTTGGACCTCATCATTGGAAAAGTTAGAGTAATTTCTTCTCTCTACACTTTGGCAAAAGCGAAAAACAGGATCTGTATTTTGAAATGTTGTTTACTTTCCTGGGTTGCACCACATATCTGATACCTTCCTCCTGTATCACTAGACAGTTAATTTTCAAGTATGAAATCTTGCATTCTTTTCCCCCTGGAAAACTCAGAAGGATTGGACTTCACTAGTACTCCTGCGCTCAGACATCATGACCTGGTTTGTTTAGGTCAATGTGGAAAAAATATGGGTTCTTGACCCCTAGCGGCCAGTTAGTTTTATGTAGCCCCGAATCTCATCCCTAGCCAGAGACCATCTACTTAGGTCAGCCATCCCAAATATGGACGCTATAACCCACCACGATCACCAAGCACAGACACTCAGGCATATAACTTAGCTCAAAGCCATCCGCACACTGATAAAAGCAATTCAAAGTGTACATCATGCCTAACTTGGTTTAAAAAGATACCATATTCAGACAGGAAGGAAAATAAAAGTTATCAGTTATGTTAATTAGCACAGAAGCAGAACTTAGAATATGTGCTTTATTATGACCCTGGAGTCAAATTCTAGTTACATACAAGAGGGCCGACTCCTCCTGACGACCAGATATCTCAGTATCACTGTCGTGCTGATCAGTGTCTTCCTGGTTTCCAGTGGAAGGGGACCAGGACTGGGCTGAAGAGGAATGGGAAGACACTTATTTTTTTGTATGTTTCTATGATGCCTGTAATTCTACACCCAAAGTGATATAAAATTCAGTTCTGAACCTTACTTTGCCAGTGTTAAGGTGAATGATCAGTAGAGAGGGTCATAAAAGATACTTTTTTGGATAAATATCTGGAGGTCATAAATTAGAATTAGGTGCATTATTTTGAATCTCATTAATGCTGACTCTCTAAAGCAACAACTTAAATTCCATTTTTGTTAAATGCCCAGATCTTGACTTGGAATGATGATTTGAGCCAGTGGAGTAGAGGCAGAAGAAGTTGAGGAAATCTTAGGTTGCCGTGTTAGCCGGAAGATGTGGCAGGAGTCTGGAGGAACTCCCCAGGGTTTAGGAAACAGCTCTATCGAGATGAAGAGCACAACCTACCGCGCACTAAAATGCACCTAGGAACAGTGGTGGACATCTCCTTTGCAGAGAGAGGCTGGGCCACACTGGCACTTAGAGGAGGTCTGAGTTCCGCCTGTGGAGGTGCAGAGTTGATAAGGAGAGGGTGCGTGAAGCAGAATTAGTGATGATCACCATCATGTGGGGCATTACTTCCAGGCGTACCTTGTGCTGAAGCTAAGGCCCACCTCAAATCTTTTCCTATAATATTCTAAATGAGCTACAGGGGAGATTATTGTCACATCCCTGGCACATTCACAATTGCTAAATAATGATTTAGTCAGGCTTTGTCAAGGGTGGGTCAAGTGAATCAGAATTATGTGAGAAAAGAATGAAGTTGAATTTGGAGACTGAAAGGGAAACAGTCAGGAATAGAGCACCAAGCCCTTGAAAAGGCTGGTTTTTCTCCACCCGACTTCCTCTGGGTGCTTGAATTTCACAGGAGTTTAAGTCACCTGGCCATTGCTGAGTGTCTGATAGTTGCTACTCACAAAATGGTCTTTCTCTAAATGGTCCTTGTTTCTATGGGCCGCCATCCCTGAGGTGGTGAGAGAATGTAAGAAAACCTTGAGGGAGGATAGCCGGGCACCGAGGGCCTCTTGTGAGTTTTCTGTTGCCTTCTCTCCCCTCACTTTACAGAGTTCTTATCACAGACTAGCTATTTCATTTTTATTATCTCTTGGATCCATTTCCCTTCTTAAGTTTTCAGGAAATAGAAGAAAAGAAAAGCTGAGTAAGAAAAGCTGAAGCAAAACCTGAAATTTTTTGTTTACTTTCTGTACAGTTTGGTTAGTGAGTGTTCCAGTCAGATCCACTTATTTCTAGCTCCCAACAACCCACAACAATTTAGAAGAACATAAATGTAGTAAATCTACTGTTCACATCTGTGAGGGTTGGATCAAGATTTGTGTCCCATTGCACAATGATACAAAATTAGGGCTTAGATCTATTGCCCATGATTTTTGTCCCCTTTAGTTGTTTATAACCCATGAGAATCTTCGAATGGTTTGATGATCCATTATTTCCAGCGGCAGAAAAGGCTCTGAAAATATTTAGTGAAGTTACTCTTTAAACAGTTGGAAACCAATGAAAATGCAGATTTCATCCACTTTCTCTCTAAAATACCTGCAGTTTTGCACATGGCTTAGAAGTACTCTGGAGTCTTCAAAATTCACTTCTGGCTATTGGACCTCTTCCAATCAGTTCCTTTTCTATTTGCATTTTGAACAAATGTGTCGTTTCATCCATGGAGCTCTTTTGTGACTTCCGTTGGCCTCCTTGGAAAGTTTCGCGTCAGTGTAGTGTCCACGCCGTTGTTGCTATCACGAGTTTCTCTATGTGAGAGTGCAGAAAGGGCTCTTTCCTCTGCCCCTGAAGGTTAAAGTCACTGGGCAAAATTCGCACCATAGGTTAACAGAGGAATGTATAATTTCTGTGCTCTCTACCAAGGCCTGAATGAATTCAGATCTAGATCTCATCAAGTTAGAAACTAAGTTAGCAAATGGCTTCTTTGGAACTGTGTGCATTTCCCCATGGTCCGCTTACTTAACGCTCAAGGGAAAAACAAAACTCTCCTTCCCTGGGAGTTGCTTCTAGGATCATTCAACATCATAATTACTTTTACACATTGACTCATTGTTGATGTGGGTCAGGAGAACTTATCCCCCTCTCTCCTTTCCACAAGAGAAGATAGCAATTCTGTTTTGTATTTTTCTTGTTTCTCCTTCACTGGCAGAGGGGTCGTGTGACATTTCTAGGTTTTGGTTTTCCTGTTTGTAACCTGAGTGTCACATGTGATGTGTTCCCTGTCTGTACATCCATGAGGTGTCTGTGGC